AGACGTATTTGTTGGCTACAAGAAAACACTGCATGTTCCCTTCGGACTACCGGAGAAGGGCCATTACAATGCATCAAGCTGTCACATCCGCAAACTCAGAGCGCGCAGTTCTCAGAAGTGCTCGCCTTAGCCTTATTTTTAGGGTAGGAAAGATGAAGGGATGGATATTTCGGGATTCGAAATACGATGTGAGGTTGGGTTATTTACAAATCTGGTATTTACCTAAATGTTATTTTTAAAATACGATAAAAGGCCAAAGGACGGTTAACGAACCTATGACAATTAAGGTAGGACCTATTTCATCGCCCGACTTTTCCTTAAGTTTAGCTTTGTTGCATCACCCTCGTGTGCACCTCTATAGGTAGCCTCTCTCATTTTGAGCTCTGTAATTTGTTTCATTTTTTACCAATTTTGGTTGGATTTAGTATTTGTATTTTCAACATTGTGTTTGATATTGGTCAAGGAACAGAGGTAATCAATTTGTAAGGTGTATTTTGGTGTGAATTTGCAGTATTTCTGTTAAGTTTAATGTTTGATGTTCTTGTTCAATTTTACTGTACAGGCATGTGCATTAAGCTTTACTGGTACTTTGCTTGTATACCATTTGAATGTACTGACATTCACAATAGTCTCTTTTGTATGCTCCTTTTGTGTAAGCTATTCCTGCTTGTACAATGGATGGAAAGCCATTGAAAGTGTTGTTTTCTATAGGGCTTGTTTTTTCTATTCTGTACACTTTGAATCAGCCCTATATAACCAAGGAATGTTTCACTTGTACTGGCTCACACATGAAGAGCCTCCACTGTAAACATCTCAAATATTGTAGTCAACCTATACTATATTACTGTAATTCGACAGCTACATTTCGATGTCTCCTTAATTCTGGAGATATCCAGCCCAATCCTGGTCCAGTGAATCGCACTGAGAATGTTTCCAATATTGGCCATACCAACTCACCTCCTTATTCAGCTGATTGTACAGCTTTACATATTTCATACAACTTGAATGATCTCCATCAGATTAATAACCAGCCGCTTAATTTACTACCCATGAATGTTTGGAGCAGGATCTGCGATCTTGGCATCGGTCGCCGACGTCGAACTCATCGCGGACGTGGGCGGCGTACGATGCCAAGGCCGGATTTCCCTCCACCAATGTCGGTATCATCCAATAGCCTCAAACTTGGCCTTTGGAATGCACGTTCCATGACCAATAAAACACACGCAATTACTGATTTGATTGTTGAACATGATCTAGATGTTCTAGTCATCACCGAGTCGTGGCTCTCTGGAGACAGTAAGAGGGATGGTCTCATATTAGCTGATCTAAGATCTGGTTTGCCTAATTATGATTTCACCCATCGACCCCGGTTATCTTCCAAGGGCGGTGGGATTTTGCTTCTCTATAGATCCACGGCTCGCTGTACCTTGAACAACAACAATGATTTTGCATCTTTTGAATTACTGGATGTCACACTCAATCTGACACCTTCATCTGCTGTAAGGTTGTACTGTATTTATCGACCACCCCCGTCTGCCAATAATAATCTCTCCAACGGCACATTCTTGGATGAATTTCCAACTCTCCTTGAAGGTGCTGTTGTAGATGATCATTTTCCTCTATTATTGGGTGATTTCAACATACATGTTGATGATCCCAATGATAATTTTGCAAAATCTGTTATGACATGTGTTGATTCGTTAGGGTTCAAGCAACATGTTCGTGAACCAACCCATCGCGCAGGTCACACTCTAGATTTGATTTTCACAAGGAATTCGGATGATGTCTGCAACGTGAACTCGCTATCTTCCATGCCTTCCGACCATTGTGCACTTGTCACCACTGTCAATATCGCAAGGCCGAAGAATCCCAAGAAAGAGGTTTCCTTCAGGAAATATCGCAGCATTGACAAGGACTCTCTACGCAACTCTATTGACACAATGTTCCATTCACTTCCTGATCTATCTTGTCCATCTGCTTCCGCGGAGCATTACAACTCATCTTTGCGGACGTTGATTGATGAGCACGCTCCAATCCAGGTCAAGACTGTATCAATCAGACCTGATGCGCCATGGTTTACCGATGATATCCAGGAAGCCAAGAGGCGAAGGCGTCGTGCGGAACGTCGTTCGATCAAGTCTGGACTTTTTGTTGATAGAGAGCTGTACCGCCGTGAATGCGATTCATATTATGAGTGCATCTTCAATGCGAAGTCAGCGTATCTCAAAGATCTCATCAAGAATGCTGACACTAAAGAACTGTTTCGTCTTGTGAAGACACTCTCAACGCCCACTCAATCTTCACCTCTTCCAGATCATTCTTCTGATAGTGAACTCGCCAACAGATTTGCTACATTCTTCAGGGGAAAAGTCGCCAAAGTTGTATCCTCTTTCCCTAATGTAGTACCAGCACCAGCTTCAAGATCTTTTGCTCCAGGCCCTCGTCATGAACTCTCTGATTTCTGCCTTGTATCCCTCTCACAAGTCAGGAAGCTCATCACTTCACTTCCTTCTAAACACTGTAAGCTAGATCCGATTCCTACCTGGCTTCTAAAGGAAGTCCTCGATGAACTCCTTCCTCACATAACCAAACTGTTCAATCTCTCGTTATCATCCGGAATAGTTCCAGAGTCTTTTAAGACTTCTCTGCTTCTTCCCCTCCTAAAGAAGCCGAGTCTCGACACGAATGGACTTAAGAACTACAGGCCCATCGCAAACCTGCCATTCCTTGGGAAGGTTTTGGAACGTATTGTGTCACTACAGCTGAAAGCCCACATTGACAATCTCGGTTTATTTCCAATCCACCAATCTGCCTATCGGAATCATCATTCTACTGAGACTGCAACTGTCAAGGTCCTAAATGACCTACTTCTAGCTGTAGATAAGGGTAATGAAGCTGTCCTCATCTTGCTTGATTACACTGCCGCATTTGACACTATCAACCACGACCTGTTACTCCATCGCTTAGAGAACGACTTCTCCATCACCGGCACCGTACTTCAGTGGATTCGCTCCTATCTCATGCACCGAACTC